AAGAAATGTATGGTTAAAATCAGTAAGGAGAATTGACATTTTGATGTTGAAACTGTAAAGGCTAAAAAGGGTGTCAGAATTTGTGTCTGTTTTAAGAGATACCTTGCACAACAAACACTATTTGACTGTATGAAAACCCTGTTACATTTCCTCTCAGATCCCTTCCTGGTCCAGCCTTGCTTGCTAACATGTGCTTCTGCTGTTTGCAAGTGTGTGCCAAAGTATTGAAAGAAGGATTCATTGAAACAGATTACTATTCCTTCATTCTGAAATCTGTTTCAAATGTCTTCTTTCTTTACATTGTTTGAAATTAACTTTTAACATTATTTCTCTGTTAGGTTGCAGTTGACCTCTGCAACAGCAACATCAAAAGCTCATGACACTGCATTCCGAGTTGTTGATCAACATTCTTCAAGCAGACATCAACCAAAAGCAGGAGCTGTTCACGGTTCACCTTCTAAACAGTCAAGTGCAACAAACAGGGTAACACCTAAAGGACCATTGCCACCTGTTAACACAAGGAGGAAAACTAACCAAATTGATGTATCAGACTTTTTAGTGCAATCTAGCCAAGAGGCAAAAATTGTTCCTTCAAGTCGAACACTCGCAAGGAGTGCAATGAAAGAAGGAAGGAAAACAATATCAGAGCTTGTTAAAGACTCTAAAGAAATTAAACCCTTGGGAAGTATATCAAAACCTGTGAGTCATCACAAGGAAACAAGAACTTCAAGCCCTTCTCATGGGGTTACTAGTTTAGATTATTCATCAGGAAGTGCCAGTTTACGGCGATCGAGAATTCCAGAAGATTCTTCTGATGTGAGGTATCCACTAGATTTAACGTCAGGAAGTGGGGGATTTAGACGGATTCGTGCAATGGAAAATAGAATTCCAACTCCAGAAGGAAGGCGATCAGGCATCCTGGTAAGTGGAGATGTTTCGTAGTGTTCAGATTTTGTCACCATAGCGTCATGAGGATTACATGTACATTGTCCTTTAATTTAGAGTCCAATTTTAACTTGAATATTGTTATACACTGAGCTTCATTTAATAGCGATTTATAGTTAGAATCAATTAAAGAGGACAGGAATTTCAAACAATTTATTATATAATGGAAAGAACCTTAATTGTCGGGCTGTTGCTTTGAGAAGGCTTTGCAATACTGTGAGGTTAATAATACATAATTTGCAATAAACTTAAATATATACTCTTTTGCAGAGTGATTCTCTATCTTATTCGTATCGAATTTCACATGGAAGTACAAGTAATTCAAATAGTAAGTAGTACCCTTGTTTTAATGCCTTGTTTGGATCAATTTTAAAATTAAATAATAGTTTCCTGTGAACCAATGAAAACAAGTTGGCAAAATGTTAAAAAATATTTAATATGGTATATGTAAATGCCAGGTTCACCAGAATGGAAACAATAATTGTTTGAACCTGGAGTGAGCCATCCAGGGTTGAGTCCTGAATGTGTTCGTTGTGTTGTATTGGGCAAGACACTGGAGTTTTACGGTGCCTCTCCTCACCTAAGAGTACATGTAAAAACTATAGGTAGTGGTAAGTTTTTTGTGGCAATACTCCTAGCTGCTTCATGCTACTGACAAAAACTGGAGTTACATGCCAGAAACTATGGGCCTGTTTACATGGAAAGAGGATGATCCTAGTGTTAGGATCATCCTAGAGGGATCATTTGGTTTACATGCAAAAATGCGGCTCCTGGGATCAACTTTTCATGTGGTTTACATGCAAGATTTGTGTTCAGCGCGGTTGCAAAACAAGATGGTGGGCGACAATGACAAAGCGTAGTTTTGGGAGTTCTTCTCTCTTTACTGGCGTTAATAACTGCCTTTCAGCATCAATTTGCCCTTATATACAACTTGATATTTCAAACACAGCAACAGTGAGCTATGATTCTCTAGCTAAATCACACTGCCACCATTTCCAGGTTTCAAATAGTGAGGAGGAAGATCAGATGTGGACCTGCTTGCAGATCATGGCGAGATTTTCTAAATTGTTGACCTTTTGAGCTTTTAGTCAATGAGTATGAAGATCCCGCCATGTTGTTTCTCAGAACTCGTCCACAGGGCCATCTTTGGTTTCAAGATGGTGGGTGGGCAAACTGGGCCTCCTGAGGCCAGTTACATGGAGGTAGGATCATCCTAGCGCCAGGATCATCCTTCCCCTCAGATAAGATTATGCTAGCGGTGGGATGATCCTAGCACTGGGGTCAAATACAACCCTTCACATGTAAACTGAAAGCTGAAAACATACCACGCTCGGATGATCCTAGTCCTGAGATGATCCTAGCACCAGGATCATCCTCTTTCCATGTAAATGGGCCCTATGAGTCAGTGGGGTCAGTTGAAAAGATAGAATAATGTCATGCCCTAGCCACATGTAGGTGTAGTGTTCTTTGTCACCAGTAAGCATCCAGTGTCACAATGAATAGAACTTCCAGAAATTATTTTGTTCTATGGGCATAATTTTCTGTTAAGTATTATTTTTTTTCGTGGATTTTTGAACAGATTGCTTCCAAGGCAAACTTAGAGACATTTGTACATTTAGCTCTGCTAATAGCATTTTTACTTGACTGCCGGCAGCCAGTTTTTCCTGTTAGGGTCCAGTGAGTATTTGTCTGTGAATATGAATGCAGAAGGGCATGATGAGAAGGGGTTGGGGTATTTTACCAATAGAGGCTGATCATGTCATATTATTTTGTAGATTCTCCATCTCATCTTCACCATCTACCTCCTGTAAAAACAAAACCACATCCGCCCCCACAACTTTTACCTGCTAAAAAGAAGACTAGATGTTTTAGTTGTGGAAAGAAAACAGGATTAGCTACTACCTATCAATGCAGGTAAAGCTCTTGGGCTTGAAGTCTCTTAGCTTGACATTTTAAACTATTTGTTGTGTTCATGGACCAAGATGCAGTCAACAAAGCCAATAAAGTCCAACATTCAGCCACTTAGATGCAACTTCCCTGGTCGGTAAAGGATTTTATTAATGGCATAGAGGACTCTTTTTGTTGCGGAATGCAACAGACAATCCCAAGCAGGAAAGATTGTCCCATATTGCCCACTCAGTTAACCAACCACAGTGCAGGATTTGGTTCATCTTGCTTGTAGGCAATGCTAGCCATTTAAACCTTTCCCATCAGTCAAGGTTGTTTATTTACATTTTGTGCAATAGACTAGTTAGATCTTTGGATGGAAACATGGGGAAAAGATCTCTTACAGTTTTATTTTTTTCTTTTTATTGAACAGGTGTGGAAATTCATTTTGTGCAACACACCGCTACGCTGAAGCTCATAGCTGTACATATGATTATAAAAGTGAAGGGAGAAAGATTATTGAACAGAACAATCCTGTAGTTGCAGCTCCTAAGCTTCCAAAAATCTGAACTAGCAGTTATGTATTATTGACAAGATAAATATATTTGTAAATAAGTTAAAACTTGCCAAAAATTAATGCTGCAATGATATGTAACTTGTAGATATAAGAAAGTTCCTGGGAAATTGAACTGTCGTGATTTTGTTTACTTTTGGAACCATGGTAATCGCTTGGGACAAAAAATTTGGTATCTTCATTTTTCTTGAAAAGGTTGATATATGTAGCTGTTTTGCAAATTGCTCTACATATGTGTGATATATTATTCTAAGCAGTAAAAATGTTGGTTCTTAATCAACTGTTATTGTTGTAAAAAGATAAAAATTTGGTTTTGTTCGGAGCCTTTTAAAGGACATTTTTATTGGTTCTTAGTTTTCTATATTATTTTTTCCTTTTCAGTTTTGGGTTTTTAGTTCATATCTCGTCTAAATTCAGCTGCTTCTGCATGCAATCCAAAGTTTTGGCTACAGAAATTTCACATAATAATTTATTCCACTTTGTTATTGGTCTACCAATTGTTGAATGTATTACATTTTTGTCATCTCAAATCTGTGTGGTTCCATGTTCTTTTGAGTGACGACAGTTACACTTGCACAAGACACAATTAATTCCTTCTGCAGTCTACTGGTTATTTTAAGCAGCTGGCACCTGGTGTTTGTCTTAATTTTCATTGTATATAAAGCTACACATAAAGCAACATTATTCCATGGTCACTTGTAAACATGCAGTCACTAAAAGATGCAGGTGAAAGAGTAAGAATAAAATTCAATTCAATAGGACGTCTGTTTCATGGTTGTCTTTTTATTGTTTCAAAATCAGGAAAGAGCCACCCTTAAATTGAAATTTTCTGAAGGTTGTTTTTTGTGCTTCCCGTTCCAGTGTGAGTACTCGATTCTTGCCCTCAGTGTCATCAGCTATCACCTCCTAGAGGTCTCAAGCTCATAATCTCATTATCAACTACTAGAAAGATTAAATGCTTTTTCCTTGCTAGCTCCATGTATTTGAGAAGTCAAATGCTCACTTAACACCAAATTCTGTGACATGAAGCAACAAGGAATATTACTAATACTCTCCCTGGATGGGACACTAGGACATTACACCATTAAAAGACTTTGTTTAGTCTGTCCAGAGATGTTTATTGTTTTGCTACGAGTTATTTTTCTTTGAGTGCAGAGTGCAAGAGCAGCTGTGAAGCGGGCACAAAAAAATTAAACCTCTATTTTGGCCACCCCTTTTTAAATCCCCTGTGGTTAATACTAATGCTTGTGATCTTGGCCAACTCAAAATAGAGCGTCTGTGGACAGATTAACTTAGCTAGTCATCAACTTGAAGTTGATGTAGAAGTAAATTAATAGTCATGGCAAATTTGAAAAAAGGGTGAAATGTTTTAAGCGCTATCCATTCATCAAAGCAAAGATGTTAAACATGCTTGAAAGAAACAGGCTTCATGTAGTAAATCCATGAAAGCCAAAATTGACATGGACCATGAGCTGAAAATATAATTTGAGGTGGGTTGCAAAGGGAAGAAAATATGAACAACATTTTTTCAGCCATTTTATATTACTATTTATTCATTTCAATGCAAAATAACTCATGTATTTTTTTAATATGGTTTTTTGTTTTGTGTTGTGCATTAGCAGAAAAACATCAAATATCCTTTTAAATATTTCCAAAAGTTCATTTTGAGATTGTGCACTTGTATTTTCTTTAACCTTCATGTGTATTGAGCAAACTGTACAGGGACTGTCAAATATTGCAGAAAAGAGGAATCGAAGCCCTGAAGATTTGTCATGCTGTTGCTGGTAAATTACTGTTGTCTTGTGTGCATGTTCCTTGACAATTTTTCTTCTTTTTCTTCATCTTGTTTTCAGATGTCATGATCTGCATGCTGACTCTGCAGACTATAACAAACAGAAAGAACAAAATAAACATTTTATCAATGAATGATTACTAAGAAATGCCTTCACTTTGTGATCAGTGTGATTATTTTGTTTCCTGCTTCTGTAGCAGCTTTAACTGGTATTTGCACTGTTTTTAATACAAGACTGAGAAATGTAGTGACCTATCTAATACTCGACGACTGTACCAGTTGTTAAGTGCATTTTCTTGACACCATCGCAACTAAACTTTACTGATTCCTTCTAACTTGTCATTGTTAAAAACCTGACCTGTTTCTGCAAACAGATTTATGATGATGCATGCTGTACAATACTTAACTTGCCACTTCTAATAAGTTATTAATAATTAATTAATCATTATTATGCAATGCTGAAAATTTGATCCAAATACATGTACCACCATTGTCTCCGAGAGGTATACTGTAGAGATGATAGACTGTTAACCTGTTCCAGGTTCTTGGTTGGTTGGGAGCAAGCCTCCTGATTGTTTTTCAATAAGAACCTGGATCAAGTGTTAATTGTTTGTGATGCAATTCACCAAAGCAGTAGAGAATCTACCCTGCGTGCAGACATCTCCTATCCATTGCTCCACCCGAAGTTTAGGAAATAGGAGGCTATGCAGAATCCTTTGTTAAAATAACTGTGTCACAAATGTTTGATATTTGCCTGCATAACTGGCTGTCCTCTAAAGCAATAAGAGTTCAACTGGTAAAAGGTATGTCAAATATTCATCTAATGCAGCCATGTACTAATGGTATATATGCACTAAGTCTATTGAACTGTCTGGAACCCTGCAACTAAATACAACCTCCACCTCTGGGAGCTCTATAGTAAGTTTTTTTACGGTTAGTATTTAAGGTGTCATGATCATCATATTTCTAGTTAGTCTTGGTCTCATTTCTTCCTATCCTCAAAGAAAAATAAAATTATGTTGGCATTCTTTCCCTAGCTCTCTTTTGTCCCTGTTAGTACTCTTTCTTTCTTTCTTCCTGACTCATCAACACATCAGGAAACAAAAATTTTTATCTTGACTTACGACGTAGAGCTGGACTGAGTACCAGACCGAGGTTTGCTTCCAGGGATTGCAGAACGAGGTCTAGGTGTTGTTTGTCTAGGGGCATCATAGTGAGGGGTTCTTTGAGGGGTGGGTGTACGGGACCTGAAAGGACGTGCACTGGATCTGCCAGGAGGTGTCATATGCCTTTCACTCCGACTGCACAGCTGAATCTGATCATCTGTTTAATTTTTTAAGGAAGAAGTAAATTAAAGCAAAGAAAACTATATAACATCAACAGGACCGTGTAAAATCTTTATTAGAGTCACTTCAAGATTGTTACAATCTTACCTTTAGCAGAGTCGTCCGTTTGTTCATCATTTGGACCTGCATACCTGCAAATTATTTGCAACAATTTTTTATATACTAGCTTAATATGTGACAATTGATACTACAAGTTTTTGTAATTAGACTTGTTTTACCAATGTGTTAATTGTATTTCAACAAAACCTAAATAACATGACATACATTCAAAGAAATCTGATGCATATGAAAATAATTAATCTTCACATGCTTTCTAAATGATTATATATTTTACAAAGCATACCAAGGATTTTGATAAAGATGAGTATGTCTGTCCTCTGTAGCTTGTCTAAATTCACCACGCTGTAATTTAACCACATCAAAATATATTTTTAAAAGTTTTATAATTTCTCAAGGAAAGGTGATTTTTAGTTATATAGTGAATATTTTCAAAGAATATGACAGCGTGCATTTTGAAGACCAAGTATTAGTGAAATATTTATATTAAGATACCTTGATTTGGTGTCTACTTCTCAATTGCGAATGATCTGTGTAAAACTGCAAACCCCACCCCACCTCTCCAACCTGCAATAAAAACCATGTATCAATGAGAATATCACCTTAATTTTGACCATGGTTAGCAATAAATTATACAACAGTTAGCTTTGAGAGAAAACATCAAAATCAAATAATTATGCAGATTGGATAACCCATAAAGACATAATTATACTGTTATGCCAGTTCCCTAGATGAAACGATAGCAATCAAATGATACCAAACTTAATGTGGCATTGACACTCGCACATGTAGAAAATACATGTTGTTTGCCCATGGCGGTGAAAAAATACAACATTAATTTTAAATATGATCATTGTGCCATTACCTTTGCTGACTTGGGTAGTGGATGCGGACAGCCCTGTAAAAAATATGACGATGATGTCAATGAATACAGGTAATATCGAGTAGTGGTGTGCCAAAGCGGAAGAAAACTCACATGGGGAAAAAATGAATGTCAATATATTTTATTTTTTAGAATTTTTGTCCCCCCTCCCTTCTCACTTCCCCACTCTTTCATTTGCATTAATCTGACTAAAGATATCAGAGACTATTAAATAAATCAATATTATAAACTGACCCTTGATGGTCTCCATAGATAGTTTAGATCACTGGTCCCCTCTGGGGACATGGTTCCAATTCCAACATAAGTATTAGGATCAAGAACTGAAGCTTGGTGATCCCTGATACCATCAGGACCTATAAAATAAGATGAATAACTATTTTAATAAAAAAGAAAAGATTAAAAGACAGTACGACACACATTCATTTTATGTTGAAAAAGTCCCTGATCCCGGTGTTACTTGGGCCACAGAAACCAGTTTGAATATCCCCTTCCCTTCTCCACCCTCCTTCTACTTCTTCTTTTGCCTTTATATAGTGTTCCTCCAGGACCTCTGAAAAAAATCCCACTTTCCTCGACACCATAATTACAGGTATCTAGAGACTCTACAAGTCGTGTCACCCAACAATTTCCTTTCATGTAAACTTATGTGGAAAGCGATTCTACAGTCAAACACTCACTTCAAAATGATCAAAAGGAAACCGCCCTATTAACTTGCTGGCCACCATTATGCATTAAAAAGAAGATATGTTTGATGGAGTTCAGAATGTGATCTTATCTGAATGTTTTTATTTAAAGTCAGTAAGCTCAGACCGATGTTGTGACTACAAAGGACTACAAACGAAAATCAGAAATTGCATGCAACAATGAAAACATTCTGAAGTCATTGATACATGATACGCCTTGCTGGGTTCGACTTCTTGCATTTTTAATTCTATTCGATACGGCCCTCCAAACTACAATGAATGGAACATTCCCAGGCCATATAAAGCACAGAGAAAACATTATTGTGTAACAAAGACTTAAAGATAATGTCGTTCAGAATTTCTGCTTTCTTTTGAGGGAGCTGCTGTAGTAAGTTATACCAAAACTTAAGCAGAGTTCGACCGGCTAATATTTTCTAGTTGATCTGTGTTTCAGCTTTCTGCTTTCAAGCAATTAGTGATTACTCAATTAAGGCTTTTAGTGTGTTTTGGGTAAAAATATTTGTACCGGGAAATTATACATAGCCACTACAAACACGTGTCACAAAGCCGGCATTCCAAAGCAGTAGTTTGTTCAATCCGATTTCAATGTTTATGTTATGAAGAAGCTTATTTTAGCAACCAATTTACCTGTAAATAGCACTTCTCCTCGGCCAATGTAAGGGTTATAATATTGATCGGATCCTCTCCAGGACAAAATGCTTGCCTTTTCCACCATTTTGTGGTTTTGTTTCTTTTCGTCTGCGGCCTCCAGCTGACCCAGACGCTGTTGCTACGCAACACAGTAATTAGAACTTCGATACCCCGCTGTCACGCAATTATTTGAAAACAAGAGATTTATTAACTCCAGTGTTTACTCGTGAGCGCTCTCGTGAGCACAGGCGACCCAAGCTCTCTCTACGAGGAGTTTTTTTTTTTCTTTTACTTTCAAAGCGAACGTTCAGCGTAAGGTGACATATGGCATTATACTATTGCATAACGACCGAATTTGACCACGCGAAACTTGACTCTGGCCTTTAAGCATATGGAGGTGTTGTGTTACAACGGTTTGAATTTATAAAGGTTTGTATGAGAATGCAACGGTTTTGCTTGAAAAGTCAATTATTCTCATATTTTGTGAATAAAATCTACTTACTCTGTTGCTGTGTTGTATTCTTTGTTGTTTCCCAGCTGCTCAGGCCGATCTAACGCGATTTCGGCGAGTTATCGTTCTGTGGGTTTCCACTACTAAAAGAAAAATTACAATAAGCTCGCTAAAACCGGTAGGCTTCGTTCACAGGTCACAGGTCACAATTAAAACACTCAGTAAATTTCGCGATGTAACAATTACTGAGATTCCCGAGAGGTTTATCGATGTTTCCATGCAACAAACCACATTGTACACACACTGCAAACCAGTAGATCTTCAATCAACTCTAAATGAACTTTCTGCAAGTATAGGCAAATTGGAAGCGTGGTCACGTGAAGCAAACCTTAGTCATTAATCCTTCCAAGACTAAGCTGATGTTATTATCTACTCCGCAGTTATCAAAGGTCCATCATTTAAACACTGAAAAGTTCGACATCACAAT